GAGGCCTTTCTCTAAGTAAAATAGAAACCACCAACCCTTGATAGAACCAATCCCTAAGATCCTAACTTAGCTTTAGTTTCTTCATTTAATATAATGTAAGAGTATATGTTCATTTAATTTGTCTCCCCCACCCAAAAAGGTAAGCTCCATAAAGTCAGGAACTCAGTCTGTTTACTCTCTACTGGATCCCACTGATTAATACGTATAAACATGTATTAGGTGATCAGTTAATACTTTAAAAACATACATGTCTTTATTGATTTCAGAGAGAGAAAGGGGGAGAGAGAGAGAGAGAGAGAGAAACATCAATGATGAGAGAGTCACTGATCAGCTGCTCTCTACGGGGGATCGGGCCCATAACCTAGGCATGTGCCCTGGCCTGGAATCGAACAGTGACCTCCTGGATCGTAGATTGATGCTCAACCACTGAGCAATGCCAGCCAGGCCCAATTAATGTTTTTTGAATAAATAAATATTTCTTCTCAAGTGTATACTGAATGACATATGGTTGGTAATGCACACTTTTTAAGAGCTTGGGTTCTGGGGTCATACAGAACTGCTTTAAAATCTTACATTATCCTGTGCTTAGTTTTATTATATTGGATAATATGATATTTAACCTCTTTAAAGTTAATTTTTCCCATCTGTAAAATAAGAATAAATACTAGTGTCCACAGGATAGTACTACTGTGCAGACTAACGGAGAAATTCATAAATAGCATTAAGTTTAGTAAACTTTTAAAGTAATGTTAATGGTAAGTAGCAGTGATAACTTATATGCAAGATCCTGTAAAAAGATTTCAGGCAATTTCCTTTGTATGAACTTTAATTGTTTTCTGAAACACCTATGGTTTTATAGAACAAAAATTTCAAAATTAAAATAAAAGCTCTGGGTTTAAATATTTGCATAATTGTAATTTAGTCATTCACTCATTTAGTATCATTTATGCCCTTTAAAAATTATTTAATGTCTCTAGTCCTATCATAGACATTGGTGGACTATAAAAATATATCAGTTTTAAGAATGTTACTGTGTAGTAAGGAGAACTAACTTTATTTTTACATGATCCCAGATTAAGAAATGTAACTATGAATAATTTAAGATTCAACAGAAATATTCATTCAATCAATTTTGATAATAATTTCCATGGGTGAGAAAAAAATCTTAAAGTACGGATGCTGCAATGGAAAATTATAATTTCTTCTCCTTTTAATTTTATTCCTGAATCTTTTTACATAGTAAAAGCTGGCACTGTGTATATTACACTAAAGCATCTTGCATTGCCAATGAGTCAGTTAAGCCAGGACCTGTGGCTTTTTTACATCATGTGTCATGAGGCCTCTCTTGAATATGTATCTATTTATGATGCGTCTTGCTTAACATCGAAACACGGAAGGAATCTGAATGAGGGCCCACGCTTCTGGTGTGTAGGGCAGTGATACAGAAGAGATGAAGGCTCATGATGGCACCATGCATGGGACTACTACTTCAGACTCCACCTCAGCTTCAATCAGAAAAATCACAAGATTCGGTTGCACTTATGTCTCATTATCTGTGTGCTGCAGGTTGAGAATAATTGCTGAATAAATTAGCATCAGATCAGAGAGCATGAAATTAAGGACACAAATAAAGTGAGTTGCAACATGGTAAATTAAAAACAAGTTGAAGACTTCCTAAGTTGAACATCAAGAGCTACATTATTAAGGGGAAATATAATTTTGATTCACATAGAACACAAAATAAAGAGAAATACTTAAAATATTTACATTTTGCTTTACTCTTATATGTGTAGCCTTATGGAAGCTACATCAAATAGGATATTTGGTTAGGAGACTGGACATTTAAAAACTATTTCCAACTACAGTACCATTTTTTAGATTAGCATTTTTTAGATTAGATATTGGTTGTGGATATTGATACTTGCTTCTATAAATAAAGTCTTCATGTGCATATAAAGCATGTGCCAAATTCAGTTGTTTTACTCTGAGAAGTTTAGTTCTCTTAGTTTTTCAGTCATGGTCTATTCATATAAGTTTGGTAATAAATCAGGAATCTATAAAAGTAGGTGAATATTAGTTCTAATAAATATTGGATGTTGCCTACTAATATCTGATACATTCTCTTAAAAAGATGGAGATAAATGCTTACTCACTACTATAATTGTCTGTAATTTTGTACATACGCATGTGTAATTGGATGCGTTTAGTTATCTCAACTTTAACTTTTCCACAACTGAACTAATTATCAACCAACAGTCTTAATTTGATCTGAACAGCAATGTTATAAAGTAGGTATTATTTCCCCTTTTGTGTGTGACATTGAGGTTCAAAGTGTTTAAGTACGGTTAGGTGCAATAGGTTTACATAAATATTTGTGACATGGTCTGTGTTCTCATGGAGCAGATTTTTTTTTTTTTAAGCTAGGAAGCTAAAAAATATATGAAAAAGAGCCAAAATTAGATGGACCAAGAGTTTGGGACAAATGAAGCAACATTATAGGCTGTTGCAAAAATCCTTACATAGGCAAAGTGTTCAAAAGAAGGAAACATTACTTCAGGGTGAAATGATGAGGGATATTTCATGGAGGTGATCATTTGAATAAGGGTTTGAAGGAATTTAAAAAGTAGTGACTATGAGGGTGTCAGTTTCAGAGAAAGAGGCAATGTAGGTAGGACAAAATATCAGGTACATTAAAATGGACCAAGAATAAAATGGATATGGGGGAGTTCAGAGCATAGCAACAGAGATAAATGAATAGTAGTAACTATATAATCATTCAGTACCTACTCTGCCACGCCCATACTAAACTTTCCCTGTGTGCATGTCACCTTTACAACATGACTATGAGGCGTTCTTACTCCATGTCCTTGATGAAGACACTGAGGCTGCTGAATGTTTAACTCACCGGTGCAGTCACATAGCAGTTTATGGTAGAGCCACAATAAAATCAGATGGCTAGATCCATGGTCCATGCTCCTGACCAATACACACGACTGTCTCCCATGGTAGCAACAGTAGTCTGGCACAGTTCTAACCATTACCTGAACTCATTACAGAGGGTAGAATGGCTGCCCCAGGAGCTTTACATTTACCCTGGCTAGTAGGAAGTCATGGTCAGAATTTAGTTTGAGGAAGTTAAATTTAGCAGTCATAGTAAATGTGAAACGAAGACACAAAACTTTTCAGATATTTGCATGCTATTCTTAGGATGAGTATCGTTAAGAACTGTTTTATATTAGATAAGACCATTCCTGCATAGGAGATAATTACTCAATTGTCATAATTCTTGTTCCTAGCATATCTAGCACATATGCTGTCGCTGATATCCCTTCAAGGTACTTCCCTTGACAGAATATAGTCTAGCAGATAGACTATAGGCAAATTCAAATTGTAGCTCATTTTATTGTACCCGTGACCATGTTCTTCATACTCTATTTTTATTTCAAATACCCCCGCCAATTCGTTCGTATTGTATAAGTTTGTAACATATTTTTTAGTTTATTTCTTTCAAAAAATGTAGTTATTACATGGCCCCCACCTGCCTTTCTGTTGTCCCTGCCTCCCAACTCGGTCGTTCCCGTAAGGCCCCAGGGTGTTCTTGCTCCAGCAGTACTCTCTCTGGGTTGCTGTCCAGGGGGTGATAATGTATGGGCGAGTACTCAACTGGAGGAAAACCATCTAAGTTATGCAGAAACCCACGTGTCCTGCAGGCTATTCTACTCCTATGCTACAGTCCTCTACAGGCATTCCTACTGCAGATGTGTGTCTCCTTGAGACACGGGGCAAAACATTCTCATAGCAATACGGACTCATTCGAAAGTTCAGCCAATCACCAGCACAATACTTTTGCTCTGGTCTTTTTCTTAAATTTGTGAGAAGGCTTCTGCATTCTCATCTGTGACCCACTGTGACTGCATTGTGATCTGGGAATTAACTTGTTATATACTAAATATCTATCTTGTTTTGTTTCTTTTGTCCCTATTTATTTTGAAAATCTGTGTTTTGTTTTGTTTTCCATTTTTAAAAGCTAAATGGAGTAAATGGATATCTAATTAATTAAAATTCCTTAGTCAGTTCAGATCATTTATTAAATACACATTACTAGTATGCATTTGGGCATATATAATTTAAAACTTGATTAATAGGAACTGGAGGTTGAACAAATTGCTTGAAAGGAAGTCTAAAGAATGTTCCTTGCCATAGTTTTTCGATGATTTAGTAAGTGATATATAGGGCATGAATGGTAAAGAAAGGAATGAGAATAAATAGAAATGGCAAAGAAAAAATAGGTTAAAAGAGCTCAGTTATGTGCCACATAAATACTTTATTAGATGACTGAAAAATTATTTGAAATCCTTATATTGGGAAACTCACCACAAACCTACATTTATAAGACACTAATACAAACTCAAAAGAGATGTGAAATTCTAAATATTTCTGAGTAAAAATCTGATTTAACAAAATAATTAGTCTCAAGGAACTTCCAATACCTTCTGAGACTGTTGCTCTCCCTAGAACTATTAAAATACCCCAATGGGAAAAAAAGTGAATAAAGGAACACATCTGGCTGTAAAAACTACATAAAAGGTTTTGAAAAAGGCAGGGCACCTATGGTTATAGTAATTCTATTAGATGTTTAACTTCAATGCCTCAATCAAAACTTTAAAGTTAATATTTCATTAGAATAAAAAGTGAAAGAGCCAGGAGAAAGAAAAATTGGTACCTTTACTGCTTCTTTTATCTGGATACATTTGCTGTGGTGCTGAATTAATAGTAAATGAGTTAATACATAGGTACTGAAAAAATAAATAGAAATTCAGGTTCACTGAAGATCAGCTTTGACCAGAATCTACTAAAATACAGGATAATTATTATTTATATTAGAGAAATTATTGATAACATTACTATGGCTCTACCCTGAAAGTAATAATAGCCTAACAGAAGAAACCCAGATATTCATGATACACATACACACACAGGGAATTTGTCGCCGTACTTACTTTTGGTCACCACACCTTCTAAGTGAATGATGTTAGGATGATCAAACTGCCCCATAATACTTGCTTCACCCAGGAAATCTCTACGTTGCTTCTCAGTATAGCCTACTTTAAGGGTTTTGATCGCCACAGGTAATTCTCTTTTGCCTGGAAGTTTCAAACGTCCACTACAAACTTCACCAAATTCACCTGTGACAAAGATGGGAAAAAAGTACACAAAATCATCTGAAATCCTTAACCTAATAATAATAATATAAAGCACTTTTAGAATATCAAGGTATAGATGAAAGAGAGTTAAAAGGAGAGTCCAACTCCATTACTGTTGTTAACAGAAATTAATGGTGTGCTGGGAAAAGTCATCTACAGGTGATCAGGAAGCACTACGGGGCTATTATCTCCATCTCACCCTACAAAACCCTTAATGGAAATGGTGCAAGGAAATTAAATGCAATGGACTTAAATCATTTCTTTCTTCCTTCTTTTTCTACTCTAGCAGTGCCATTAATGAGAAGAGAAAGGTTATAGCAGGACAAAAAAGAATAAGTGTAAGGAAGAAATGATTCTTAAACAGAATAACTGTGTGCTTGAATTATGTAAATATTTCTGGCATTACAAAAATTATATTTGTATATGTACTAACATAAACAGTAGATGGTGAAACACTATGTTTGAATATATATATATATTTTGCAGATTTATTTTTTATTTCATAAAGTAGACATTTGCTGGTTAAAGTGTGAGCTACACAGAACGTAGCATTAAAATATGATCAATTATATACCACTTTGAAAATGAGTCAGTTACAAAAGATCAAAAACATCTGTGTTAGATCAGGACACTGACATATTACAGCCTATTATTAAACACAAGTTAACAGTCTGAGTTAAACACACTGTGGTACCTGCTCCAATAACTCTTTCAATGGTGATGCATGAAGCTTCTATCTCCTTGGCAAATTCATGGACAGCTTGATTGGGATCCTCATAGGTATGTGGATCAATATAAGTTCTTACTCCTGGCAGCTTAACTGTAAAAATAAATGGGCATTAAAATAGAAGTGCTTGTGATGGATGAGTGAAATTACAAGTATTGTTAACATGCAAGTATGGCTTAAAACCCTAATTCCTAAGTGGCTGAGCTAGAAAGACAGACCCTCTCCTGAATTATAGGAGTCATTTATTCAGCTATGTCACTTCTGTAATTTTAGAAATCTGGATGGTTTGCACGTACAAGAAATGTATATGTGCCAATATATATGAGTAAATACATCTTTCAACATCAATGTTCAGAGTTAGTCTCTGAGGCAAATTAAGACAGTTTCATTTACTAAAGGGGACAATGAAATGCCGGTGGTTTATTTGTTGGCTTGTTAGTCTGTGTCCCACTTAAATTATCATCAGAGATAATTAATTTTGGCTTTACAGAAAAGTAATTTAAAATAAATTTTCAGGTGTTTTGGTCCAATAAGACTTACAGAAAGAGAAGTCAAAGAAAAAGAGAAGCTCTACTCCTCACTCTGCCTGTGTTACTGCACAGACTCTATGTTCCATGACCTACAGTTTCATCACAATTAAAAGATACCAATATCACCCTCACAGTGTTTTTTGAGGATCAGTAACATTAAATAACATAATAGTATGAAAAGGGACTCCATGCTTTGCAGCATGACTTTTGGCTTTATGATCTTGACTTTAATGGTCATGGCAGAGTGACAAAAGTAAAAGAAACTCTTTTTGTCATTTCCTTGATGAAACATCTCATGCTGTAATATTAATGGCAAAATAAACATATTAAAACACCATTTAATTAAAAATTATTTACTAATTTTTAAAGCTCATTGTTAAAACTTGATTTTCTGCATTTCTTAAAGGTGTGGAAGTTTTCAAATCATTTGAACCAAGGTTGCTGCCACAGGATCTGCTCTGGGAAATTCCTGCTATAATGCTAGAAAAAATACTGAGGAATTTTATTCCTCTGATCTGGTGGTGTTATTTTTAAAAAGATTTCTACTGAATGAGTTGCTAGCAATTAGAATCACCTTAGATATCTGGTCTGAAAAATAATAGCTTTATATTAAGCAAAGTTTTTATTTTAATGATTACAATAGGTATGCTTTAAAGAACTGAGGACACCATCTCTCTGTTTCCCAGGGTCGGCTGCCAATGTCCCAAGCTTACATGCTTTCCAGAAATGTAAAAAAACACATCTTTAAAACAATGTAAGTTTTAAAAAATATTTTTGGTCAGTTATTAGAAATCTCGCCTGAAAAGAAACCAAAATAACAAAAATGTCACCCCAATGTGGCGTTCTTCTGAGTTTTTACAATTCGCTTACTGTGCCCATTATGAAAATGCATCTTTTCCTCCTCTGGGTCTTGCTTGGCTTTGCTGTAACCGCACCGCCTGGAACAGAGGAACCTGCCATTAGCCGCATCTCCGGGTGGCGAACCCCCCGAGCCCGGGCGTGTGAAATGCAACAGCGATGAGCGCAGGCCTAGCTCGTGGTCACACTGGCCCTGACGTCACCAGCGCTCCTCTGGTCACACCCCTCTAGCCCACGTCCCTCATTCTTCCCATATTTCACGGAGGACTCTGAATCCATCCAAGCCCATTTTTTAACTTCTCTTCAACATACACTTAACAGCAGAGATTTTTTGTTCCACTTTCTCTTTTACTTTTTTATTTTCCGCCAGTTCAGAAGTCACTGACTCTTTTCAGGATGAACAGTCCAAAATGTTTCTGCCTCATTAGTCTCCCGCCTTCAGCTCCTTACTCTATCATTTATTTTTTTCCTCTTGTTTTGGAGTCGTTCGTTGCTCCACTAGCTCTTTTCCACTCGGATCACTATTAAGTTGATCACACCTGCCTCCCTCTCAGCTCCATTCTCCAAATCTTACTCCTTTGTTTTTCTCAGCTACTCCCTAATTTGCAAGTCCTTTAAACCTGCTTCTATTACTTACAAAAATCTTTCCTTCAAAGTTTCACTAATGACGTATTCACCTCTAAATCCAATGACCTTTTCTTAGTTTTTAAGCATTCATGATCACCTGAAATCCCCAACTACTTTTTCATGCTTTTCGCTCCTCTTCATCTATGTCAATAGGTCTTCAGCATGACCTTCTCTGGTTCTCTCCTGTCAACCCATCCATGTCTATCAGTTTAATTAATATCATCTATTACCTCTGGTTGAATTGTTTTGAAACTTATACTCTTATTTCTCATAAATTTATTTTATAGAGATATTCACTGGCATTCAACTCAATAGATTTGAAAAAGGCAATCTATTTCTCTTCACGTTTGATCTTGATCTGTAGCCTTTTTATCCTGTTAATAATACTGCCACGACCTTGGTCCCTTAAGATCAAAGCCCTGTTCTCTTGCGCTTTAACAACAAATTAGTTGCCAAATCCCAGGTATTACATAACCTAGATGTCTTAAGATCCATCTCTTCCTTTTCATTAGCTCGATTTCTTCGTTTAAGGCCTTGTTATTTTTCACGTGGCTCGCTATTAGTGCCTCTGAGCTGATGGCCCTGCATTCCAAAACTGCTCTCCCAAACTACACTCGACACGGCTGGAGGCAAATTACTGTAAATGAAATACTTTTCTATTGTTAGCTGCCTCCTGCAAAGCCTTCAATAAAATAATAAAGTAAAGGTTCCTAAATGTAGTGCTAATGCACATCTCTTAGGTCATCTCCAACTGTCATCAAGTGTGCTAAACTTTACCCCTCTGGTCTCCAAGATATTTCTCCATGCTTCCATACATTTGCACATACTGGTTCCTGAACCTAGGATGTTCTTCCTAACCATGTCCACTTATCAACATCCAGTTCCATTTTTGCATTTATGTTTTTTTCCTGATACCTCAATTTTCTCCTCTCTGAACCCAGTAACTTTTTATACCCCTTTCATGGTATGACTTCCATTCTGTTATGCAACATAGTCATTTGCATATAGTTTTGGCTCTCTTACAACTTGTCAGTTTCTTGAATGGCAGCAACTAGCATTCATCTATAAATTTCTGTAGTGGCCCACTGCCTGGCTCAGAGTTGACATTAAAAATATTTGTCACATTAATGAATGAATGAATGAATTAGTAGATGATATTTCAATTGTGTTTACACAATGACAAATGTTTGGAGAAGAAATTCACTGATGAGTACTGGGTTGATATGGTACATAATTAACCATATAATATTAAAATAACCAACTAAAATGAAAATATTTCAATTATTTTTAGTGAAGCTCCAAGGATGCGAATTTACTATTCATAAACTCTCATAACAAAATTGAATGTATTAACTACAAAATTTCCGTTTATTTCTGTATAAAGAAAATACAGCCAAAGTGATAGATTCACAAAATATTTTCATTACAAAATTGGTTGAAAACTACTATGTGATCTAAATGAAATGTCCAGCTGACATGTGCTAATGAGGATTAGTCCTTGGTTACATATCCTAAGATGTTTCATAGGTATGTGTATATTTTGGTATAAAAATAAAACCTATTTTATTGTATATTATTTCTTAGTGAATAATTATATACATATTATAAAAAATAGATAACAAAACTCACCCATGTGTTATTTTTTGGAAAAAAACACACAATTATCTTCATTTTATCATCTTAAAGAACTGGCAATTTATTAGTAAAGTAGAGCTAGTAAAATTTGAGCAAACTTAATATATTTAACACATATAGTGTTCTTGAATGAGGAACAATACACAGTTGAGATCTGGTGGCTTTTCAAGTTCTGTTCATAACACTTAGGTGCATTTGTCATTCAAGAGCCCTTAAGACATCTTGCAATACCTCACCACAGTGAAATGAAGAGAAAAAACAAATACAATTATGCTGCAATTAAGTCTGGTCTATTCAAGCTGACATTTAAACTATTCTAATACAGCTCATAATTTTTATAAATATTACATTATTCTTTCAACTTTATGTATATGCCTCTAGAGAGAAGTTATTGATACTTTTATTTTTACCAATGTTCTAAATACAATTGTGTTAAATCTTTCTAAGGTTTATGCTATTTAAATAATACTGACAAAAAATTTTTTCTAAAGGGAATTCTAAAGAGTCCTTAAAAAATACCAGTTCTTGCAGTCTATGTTAGAAAACAAACATCCAATTTTTTTGTTGTTGTTCTATTTCTTTAAAAAATGCCCTTGGTATTTTGATGGGGATTGTTTTAAATCTGTGTATTGCTTTGGGTACTATGGTCATTTTAACCATGTTGATTCTTCCAATCCATGGACGTGGAATATTTTTCCATTTCATCGTGTTTTCAATCTCTTTGACTTATGCTATGTAGTTTTCAGTGTATAGGTCCTTCACGTCCTTTGTTAAGTGTATTCCTAGGTATTCTATTCATTTTGTTGTAACGGCAAAAGCCATAAGAAAAGATGAAATACTGCCATTTGTGACAACATGGATGGATCTTCAGAATATGCCTAGCAAAAGAAAAAGTTAAGAACCACGTGGTTTCACTCATACATGGGATATAAACCGAAAGCAACAACTGAACAAACAAGAAAAACCAACAAAAACTCCTAGACGCAGTCAACAGTATGGAGGTTACCAGAAGGAGGGAGGAAGGGGTAGAAAAGAGTCAAGTGGATCAAACAGATAGTGATGGGAGAAGACTGGACTTTGGGTGGTGGGCACACACTGCAATATACAGATGATGTATCACAGATCTGCGCACTTGAAACCTATATAATCTTATTAATCAATATCACCCCAATAAATTTAATAAAAAAGCAAACATCCATTTCATCTCCAACTTCTCTACCTTCAAAAAAATTAAGCTTTCAAACTTGTTTCCTCAAATAGCTTTTATCACTAAATAAGCCTCATAGATATGTAAATTGCATGCAGATTCCTCATATGAAAATGGAAATAAAACTTTGGATCTTATCTAAAAATTTCTTTGGGAATACCTCGGTGAGGAGCAGTTGACATTTTAATACCCAGGGTGAGATTCAGGAGGGCAATGGAGTTATTTTTGACTATGGGCATCTCTGGAGCTCTGTAATATATACAGCTGCATGTCACATTAACATATAGAAATTAAGTTCTGGAACCCTCCTCCCCCCAAAGCATCATTAAAACAAGGTGCAGCAAGATCAACAAATAAAAGTGCAGCTGGCAGAGACTAGCACTCAAGCAGTGGATCAGCCTCGCTACGCTAACAAGGCATTTTGGGAAACCTGTTCATTCAGTATCATCTTCTGTACCTGATTCGGATGCATCATTTTAAACCAACAGACAATCAATAAACATGCCATTCTGTGCATGAATTATACCTCCTACTTCTTAGAACCATTTTTTTTTTTTTTCTGAAAGGAAAAGAAACAGTTTCTTCATTTTGCTTCCTATTACAATTTTAATGAGCTTTGATATCATTGTATTAAAAATATCTGTAGTGTAATTAGGGGAATCACCTAATAGCCATTTATACTCATTTTCCTCTGGAAAACAATGTTTTATTTTTAGTAGTAGAGATGAACATGATAAATCGTATAAAATGTAGGCATTATTCATATTCATTAATATTTACTAAGACATCCTAGAGATATTCTTAATATATAAATATAGCAATGCCTTTATAGGTAATTTAGAAGTCAATCTATTTTCTTTCACACCTGTCTTAAGAATTCGAGTACCACATCCTTGATGACATTAATGGTGAGTTTAAAAGCTTGGACCCAGCCATAACATCTTAAAATTGGATATTTGAAATTTCCATTATACATGAAATAGTAAACAATAATATTTATGTAGGGATGAATATGCTAATGAATAATTTAGTTCTTAGATGCAAATTAAGGATTTGATAAGAAATCTGAGGTTTAGATGCCAAGCCCTCCAGAGCACAAAGCGATACACAGAATCAGTAACTTACTAAACGGCAACCTTTGGCCAATGAGGAGAGATGAGTGAATGAAACAGCCTGAGGAGATAGTAGATTTCTTGCTCAACTATAGCTTCCACTGAATCAGATTTTTCCATTGCTAGCCTACAGAAATAAAAATTGGATATACACCTTTTCACCTCAATTCTAAATAAAGGTGGGGAGGGGTGGAGTGGTGGGAGAAGGAGTGGTTTTGCATTCTGATTTCTTTAAAAGACTGAACATAAGCAGCCACTGGATCAGAAATGGTCACTCATATATGTATTGTTCCTCAATTTTCCTGGTTGATTAAGAAATGCTTTCCTTGTGCTTTAAAACAAAACTCAGCCTCATAAAATAAAGGAGCATATGAACATTAGTTTATTAATATATCTAATAAAGACTGGGTTATATATCGTTTTGTTTTACAGGACCACATTCTTTAAAAAGAATGTGAGTGCAAATGCAGTAAAATAGGACATCTGATAGTAGGATGCCCTGCCAGCAGGACTGAGACTCCCATTCACACAGGCCTCATCTGTCTACACAAGTCCTGGGACTTTGAGTTCCTTACTATGTAAGGTACACAAAAAATGCAACTAATCTATTATTGTTTACTAAAATTCTTAAATATACTTCTCAAAGGAAGTGTGCTTATGCCGAAAAACATACTTTTCTTGAAAATGGTTTGCAGTAATAATTATACCACATAAAATGAGGACATAGATTACTAGGTTCCCATCTCTCATTCTATCAAGGATACGAACTACTCAGTGATGAGTGGCAATGTGAGAAGCTAACTTATTTCTTATTTTATGTCTTAAATATAATTTTTTACTTCCATAGTCTAAAAGACAAAGAAAAATAACTTTAGAAATAATACCTTGCAAAATAATGTAGTACATATGAATTTGTCAATTGTTCATTAATGAACTATTCAAATCCTTTTAGAATAAGCAATAATAGGAAGACAAAGAATTTCAAATACTTCAATAAATTCAAAGATGAATTATAGACTTTCCAATATTGAGTTAAATTTTAATTGACTTAGAAATTTAATATAAAGACATTCATAAAATATGGTATTTGTGGGTTAAGTCCCCAGTTTTCAGTAAATTTTGTCCTAATGCTAGAGTAGCTAATTTTCTATTAATTTTAAACTATTTCATGATGTGACCTTTGGATATCTCTAATACAGTAAGCCACTTAGTATCTCCTATAGTCTGAGATTCCCTAGAAAAAGGATTTTGGAGCAATTTACATAGCAAGCCTTCAGTTGAAATTTAGTATGTTCTAGTAGGTAAACCTTGGATCTGCTGCTATGAGCAGTTTAAATAGAGTCTAGAATCATTACAAAGGGATCACTTCATTCTCTTTTTCCAAATTCTATAAAATAAAATAGTCCTTCCACTACTCTCCAGCAGAAATCTCATGGAAATAAATGAAGTAATCTGGGTTAAGTGTAGGTAAAAATAAAATAATTACTTACTTCAAATTTCAGGAAACTTTCAGTTAAAATAGAGGAAGAAATATGGTTCATTGAAAAATTAAGATACTAGTTAATGTTTCAATGTAATTCAGAATACATTTTTTCAGTAAGATTTGTTTTTTTAGTTTTAATCTCTGCATTATAAGAAAAGATAGAGTTTATCCCTTGTGTCTCTGATTAAAAATATTTTTTAAAATTCTAAGAAATTGAAGTGATTGTCTAAAATCACAGACTGGATAAATAAACAAATTAAGAATATAATATCTTTACTTTCAGAATAGTAAACTATTTCCCTTGCCACTTAAACTTTTCAGAAGCACTAAGTAATATGAAATCACTGGGAACCCTAAAAACTTATAAATGAAGAAACTAGTCTGACACAGCGGAATACTACCCTGCCATAAAAAGGAAGACAACTGTTCCCTTTGCGACAGAAAGGATGGACCTGGAGAGTATTATGCTAAATGAAATAAGCCACAGAAAGACAAGTTCCACATGACTTCACTCATATGCGGAATTTAATGAACAAACCCAACTACCAAGCAAAACAGAGACAGACACATAGATGGAGAGCAGGCTGACAGCACTGGGGGGAGGGGGGGGCTGTTGAGGGGCTGAAGGGATTGAGCAAAATAGAAAAAAAATATATAGAGAGAACTCAGGGACATGGAAACTGGTGGTGATTGCGTGGGGGAGAGGGTGAGGGTGTGGAAGACGGCACAGAGGGGATAAATGGAGATGGAAAAAATAAAATAACAAATATAAAAAGAAATAAAATTTTTTAAAAAAATGAATGAAAAAACTACTTTGGGACCATGGCATATTTCAGACTGACTTCTAATAAATATTATGCTATAAATACATAATTGTTTCTATAATTATAAGTACACATGAATATCAAGAGACAAGTTATGTTTTTTATAAATGTTATTTTTGAAATTACACACAGTATCTTACATTAAAAACAATTCAACATTGAATGTTTATAAATATAGATTTCTGTGTGAATAGATACAATGCTTAGTCTCACGCCAGTTGTAATTGTGTAAAGTCAAAGATCACTAATAAAAAATACCTCTGCTAAAAATGTAGGCAGTCTAGGGGATAAGGTGCCTAAAATCCAGGCATTTGCGTTTCATTCAGAAATATTACAGAAATATCTTCCAGCACTGTGTAGATTTCAGTCAAAGCTGGAAACAATATTTGAAGTATTACCATTATGTGTATGTGTACTAGAGTGGGGAAAAGTTATTTGGGATCAAAGGTGGCCTCATGTAATTACCGATTTCATCTTATAAGTGGCACATCACACATTTGAAAAATAATGGAGGAAAGTTGCATTAAAGAGCCAAAGATCTAGGTCAACAGTTTTCAAATTATGCTTTTTAGACCCTGAAATTTCCACAAGGTATATCTAGGTACTTCTAAAACCCAGTACATTTACAGTGGGCATTTTTCATGTAGATGCTTTGCATTAAATTAAGGTCAAAACTAACCACACAAATATTCATTAGTGGTCTTTCAAAAAGTAGAAGACAAAAGAGTCCAAAATTTCAAAACATCTCACCACCTCTATTTTATAATTGTAATATCTATTCACAAATGATGATGACAGAATGTTCCTTGGGGATTATTTATGTGGTAACTGACAAATGCTGCTTTGATTTCACATACAAAATCAAGTGGCAAGATATCAGGTCAAGACTTCCCAGTATTTTGCTAACTCTACTAGAAAAATTATTCTTCTCAGCCTTCATTTCCACTATCTAAGGTTTTCTCCCCTAACGACTTTTGATTAAAGCCCTTACACTAAACAAACAGTATCTTTAACTAAGACCTCATAGTGACTTGACATTATAAAGTGGAAGTTCAGAAGGCACAGCAATAAAAACATTTTTAGCTTCCATTCCTCCCCAGTAATAATTTTGGATAATTTTCTTACTGTCTGATTTATGGGATCTCAATTAAAGTGTGTTTCTTTTGCTTTATTTTGTTTTGTTTTATTACAAATGCATTAGGAACTCTTGGCTGTTCCATAAATCTTTCCACGAAAACTATTACCATTTTATTGGGTGTAACTAAGCACATTTTTGGATAAATCATTTCTTTTCCTTTTTGGTTGTGGGTTTTTTTTGTGTGGAAACACGCACACGCACACGCACACACACACGAGGCCCTTGCTGCCTCCATAATTACTAACATTACTTGAAGACAGATATTAGAAAATGATTCTGCCTTAGGTTTCCTGGTGTGTTCTTTGTGAAGGAAGTGTTCCGCCTTCCCATTTTTCCTCTTTTATTTTATAAACTCTCTGAAGTCAACGACACAGTAGAAAATGATACTGTTTTAAAAATCAAGCATTTTAAATTCAGCTAAAGTTAGTTTTTGCCAATACTTTCTAAGTCATGGATGGCTTCGTAAATGTTCATACTCCCATTAAGATAGCTTTAAGATTTAGGTCAAGGTAACTCTGGATGCCAGTTTTTCTCCCAAGATGTAAATTCTGTCTTTTCTGCTTTAGTGGTGATTTATCTCTTATAACACTATACTCCAGACTCAAGAAATTTTTCACAGAAAAAAACAACAACAGTGTAAGTCCATTTATATCACACTTTAGCCATTGCCAGATTTCAGGGGTTTTTGGTTTATCATTGAAGCCCCAGGATCATATAAGACTTTCCTAGTAAATTAAATAATTTGGAACAAATCTGTAATTTCATATTAATGTCACATTTTTTTCAAATATAAAAATTTCAAAATGTTGAGAAAGACATTTCTGAATTTTATCAATTTGTGTTTGATGACTTTCTCCTGTTCTCAGGTCACTGGTATCCGTTACACCACTTCTCACATCTATACATGTGTGCACATTCATTCATACTACAGGTTTTTCAAACAACAGATACTAATCTCCACCTATAGAATACAAGTAACAACTTAAAATACCACAAGGTAACCGTATAATTCTCTGAAATGCATTTCAGAATAACTTTTCTTGGCAGATTTTGACTACAAATAACTCAATACATTAGCATGGGATTTGGGCTCTAATCTAGAAAAAAATCATCTGGAGAACTTCACTTTTTACACGGTTGTTCAAAGTCCTTCTAAACCTGTGACTAGAGGTCTCCTGTTTTATGTTCTAGCCTACAGTTTATAGCTATCACCCAGCTATATATTTAGGATTTGCATTGGTAAGTAGTTAAGGATATCCCATTTGGACACTAATCCTTAGAATGTGCATATTTTTTACTTCAGAGATATCAAATTCAGAATATCACTTCTAATATCTGAAATAATTCAAGCGGAAAAATAGGAACTAAACCCTTTACAATTCCACACGGTTCTGTTCTCCAAGTCCACAATGATTATGAAAACAGAAGAGCCCAGCTACGTTATGGCCATTCCATGGTTCTGGGAGACAAAGAAGGTGATTCCACCCTGACAGGGTGTCATGCTAATTCCACGTATGATATGATTTTAATCTTAATGGGACAACGAAAACAGTGACATGTGACATGGAAAACAGATGGGACAGCCTTCTAAATTCCTGGTTTAAATGAGGACCACGGCAAAAGCCTTGGGAGAGGAGCATGAGCGTCGGACACAGGGGCGATGGACCGTGCGGACGTGTCACTTGAAATCACTTATGATGACATCGCTTAAGAGTCCCCTTTGGGAATCGTTTCACTCTATCCTGTTACAGCGTAACTGGCATACTAACCGTTACAAGGCACACAAATGGGAAAAAAAAGAAGGAATGCTGACGGGAGCACACGGGCGGGACATGGCGCGGGCGCGGGAGCGCGAGCGGAGGGGACACTGACCACATTAGGCCTGGGTGGGCAACAGCGCACAGGGGGGAAGCCCGTCCACAGCCCCACTCGCAGCAACTGGAAAGGAAACAAGAGAGCCCACGTGAGGAAGAGTCCCGCTCCCTCCGCGCAGCACCAACCCTGCCCTCGGCGCTCCGCCTGCACACGCGGGGCCCGACGTGCAGTCAGCGGCCACCGTGCCTTGCAAGTTAAGCGGCACGTTATGGACTTACTTGTCCTTATTTTACTTAAAGTGCTTGTTCCGCAGAATATAATGAGCCAAAGCATTTGCTTACGCAGTTAATATAGAAATACGAAAAGATGTAAGCCCATGTAAATATACATCTCCTCCTAAATTCCTGCAAACTATATTCAGAAGACATTTCAAATAGCCCTCCAAATACATGCTTCTCACAGGACCTACAAATTCCAGATGGAGGGAGATGTCTTGTTCCTTTGACCCACTGATTTCTTACGCCACCGGCATGGTTTATCACAGCCTATTGAACATGTTATGAAAGCGTGACTTCAATCGCTTATGGAAGGCTTCCGATTTAAATTTACATTTTCGGATTTTAAAAATGCATCTTCAAATATATATCTGCAAAGCTATTGCTATGTTAAAAATAAAGAAGCTATATATAACACATGCACTTTCTGGATATTGAAACATTTAAGCTTATTTTAAATTTTCCGCACATGCATGCATATTCACAGTAAAAAAAAAGATCCAGAAAATACCAAGCAAATTGTCTAATAAAATGCACTTTATTGTTGGGAATCTGCATAAATTGATGGCAGAATATAACACAGAAGGTATTTAGTGCTTCAATGCATTCACTTTTAAGTGTATTTTATGAATAGCATTTATAGTTATTTTGAGAGAACTGTGGAATCAGCTTAGAAATGGACCAGTAAATTTAGGCTTTTGTTTAAAATCTGTCTATTTTGAATTTTAATTCCTTGACATGTATCTACTCTATTTTGTATCAAATAAGGAGAAGAAAATAAAACACAATGCTAGAGAAGGTAGACAAGTATTTCCAAATCAAATTCCAATATATCTTTTTCAAAGAAAATGTAGGCAATGTTCCATATATTTTCTTTGCAGTATTAATGATGCTTTAACTTTTAGTGCTATTAACTGACAATTTGGTTGTCATGAAAAAGGAATCCTAGTACACAGAAATGGCTACTATGACATTTATTTCCAGTTTCACAACTTATTATATTTTAAAGAATATCCCGAATAATTATTTTCATTATAAAGATATTGAAAGTCAAAGTTACAGTACATCAAAATATTAAAACACAGAGTAGGTAAAGCATCTGTAAAATTCTTTGGCACATCTTGATATATCTCTTTATAATTACATTTATTTATTAACATAATTATAAGACATTTATTAATGTCTTATACAATTATTGATATTTAAGTTAACTTTCCCACTGCTTCTGTTTGTCTTAGCACTCCGATTAGGGGTTGGCAAACTATGGTGCATGGGCCAAATCCAGCCTACCACTTACTTTTGTAAATACAGTGTTACTGGAACCAGCCACACTCATTATTTGTTTATGGCCTCTTTAGTGCTGTTCTGGCAGAGTTGAGTAGCTGTGAAAGAGAATATAGGGCCTACAAAGGCTAAAACTTACTACCTCACCGTTAAAAAAAAGTTCATCTTCCCCTTTTCTTAGACTGTTAGTTTCCTGACATGAAGGTGATTCTTTAATTATTTTTTCTTCTTCACACTTTAAACATAATAAATGAAAGCCTATAAGTAGTCAGTGTTTTAGTGTAATTGGTATTAATTAATGGCACAATTATCTCAATGTATTAGTATGAAAAATTTGCATATGTGTTCATTTTAATTAGCCCAGTTCCAACTCGATAAATAATAATTGATTTTTTTAAAAAATGCACCTGATTAATTTTTAGTGATAAAATAGATTATGTCATCTCCTAATAAAGTATAAATGTTCTTCTAGATGTGTGTGCACAGTCTGTAAACTCAGGTAGGATTATGCTTAGGAAGTGGCTGCATGCTGTGGCCACTGCCTCATAAGATTGCTTTACACTTAGTAGGTGTTCTAAGACTCAAAACGCACACTAATGATTCTACAAAAAATAATATTTTATTCATTCTTCTTAATTTAAAAAATTATAAGAATTTTGTCTTAAAAATTAGTACATGCACATACACACACACACACACACACACATACAATTCACTATGACACCGTGTCCACAAATTTTAGTTCTGAAGAATTTAAATCATCTTGCCTATCATTAGAACTCTAATTCATAGTTTTAATAATTTAATGAAAAATCTGAAATCATCTAATATTCAGTATTTGTATATCTATCTTTTCTGAGCCCTTTTTTCAGATTTTGTACTGATATTTTCTTTGACTTGTTTTAAGATAGTGCAAATAAATTTCCTTGGGTAACTGTGTGTTTCAGTTGACAGATAAGAATCCTACTTCATAGGTTTTGTGAAAATAAAGTGAGAGAATATATATATTCACCTTGGTCAGTATCTGGCAGATCATATATTTTGGGGAAAAAATTGTAGCTATTACTCTTAGTAATATCATAGTTAAAGTGATAGAAAAAAAATCATCATTATATCAGAGGAATTGATATTTTTCATGATTCATATAATATTACCATATTAAATACTTCCACTTATACTATAAGTAACTAATTACACTCAGACCAATTCATATACATACAAAATGGCCAATGCCAATTTTTAAAGAATCATTTTCACAAAATACATTTTCTAAAAATTTAGTAATCAGAGCATACTGTGCTTTAATATGTTATTAAGAAAATTAAAATTGAAGTATCTTTTCTATAAATATCTGAAATGAGATAGATCCTGTAAGTGATTTGAATCCTCTAAATAAGTCTTTTAAAATAACCCCAGCACCTCGACACCAGATGGTATAAAGTTCATGTTCTTTCCTTAATCAATAAATACTTGCAGAAGTACAGGTTGAAAATGCTTATAAGCCTCAGAGGTAATTTGGGAATAGAAACCCAAATGTGCTAAAAATAGTGGCTAATCTGATGTATGTGAGCCGTGGTTCAACACAGGGCACATCTGCATCTCCATCAGTTCCCTGCACCTGGAGGCCTGTGAGTAACTGCGCGGAACTGAAACAAGGTCATTATTAACCCAGTTTAAAATAGCTTAGCCCTTCTAGGCTTATACACAAAAATGGTTGCTCTTTGTCTTAAGGCTATTTCGATTTGTCCTTTGGATGATTAAAACGTGATAACAGAAGCTTTCCAGGCCCAAAGAAGATTTAAATGAAATTACTTCAGCCAGGCCTTACCCAGAGTTGATCAATATATGTATTAAGCGCGTCAGTGTAAGTGAGATAACCTCCCTCCTACCGAAGCAAGGTGATTGTAACTTTAGGGAAGAAATTCTCACAGATACTAGATCAGAGAAGCAAGACTATGGGCTGTGGATAAAGGATGGCTTAAATTCTAAACAAGAGATCATACAAGTGGGTAAGAAAAACAGTAAGATCCTGACAGATAAGTGAGAGAAAGGCAGGAAAAGTAATTTCACAAAAGAAGTATTTTAACAAGACAGAACATATTTTCAGTTTACCGGTTTAAAAAAAGGAATATATTGAAAAGACTGCACAGTTTACCCATTTAAAAAAAACAACAGAAATGATGGTATCAATGCCGAGGAAAAGAGTAGAGCTTGTGCCCTCACAGGTGGCAAGCCACAGTGACAAGTGACACCAATCTTTTAGAAAACAATCCTCCAAAACCGATCAACGAGTAATAAAAATGTCCTTAACTTTTGACACCCCTGTGTAGCAAAATAGTTAAGATCCTGGCATTTGTACTCAGATTAGGAGCAGTCCTGGATGTATACTTTGGGTAAACTAGTTACTGATGTAAACGAGATAATAATGGCAACTACACCACATAGGGCTGCTCTGAAGAATGAGCTTAATAATATGTGTAAAGCTCTCTGCATTGTCATGGGCTTACAGTCAACACTTTAATAGCTTTGTGTTTTTTAGCTGATATAATAACCTGATCTCGGGCAAAGAGTGCAGTACAGATAATGTGCCTCAGGCTGGCCATAGATTTTACAGGAAGTAAATAACTAATAAATATTTTGTAGTGAACAAAATATATTTGTGGAAGCTATGATGTAATGAAAATCAATATAGTATAATATTATTTTTCTTAATTAGGTGAAAATTGTGCAGGAAAACGAAATGATGGCATGAAAGTATATCAAACCTCTAAGAGCTATTATGTTGGAGTGTTACATTAATTCACATTATGGGTTAAATTTTAGTTTTCTCAAATTTCAAATTGTTTGTGGTTATTTAATTTTACACTCTGTAGAAAATTAAGAAAAGAATTCAAACAATTCCAATTATGATGCTTATCACAATGATATCACGAATGTAAACATGTAACAAATATATATAACAAAAGCAGCTGAGGAAATTGTTCACTGGTAATTAACACTGATAATGTTAATTGTTTTATATATTTCTTAACCGTTTGAGGTCGTTTGTCTACTCTCAGCCACCAAAGCTTTTTTACTGTTCCGGTCATATGTCTGCTCTCAGCCACCACAGCAAGGAACCGTACGAATCTTAACTCCATTCATGTATCAGGTCATAATTTCTCTGAAAGCTCTTAATTCCGACCAGTATGATACCCATGTCCAAATTTAATATGACCGCAAAGGGTTAAAATGTCTCATAATGCAATATCTTTTGCATATGTATCTTAATTCATTGCCACTGTCCTAAGATTTGATACTGATTTTCTGATGAAGCCAGGCTAAAACTCTGCAGATTTTTTTTTTTTTTTTTTTCAAAAACTGGGAAAGGGAGAAAAAGCATAATGATTATATATGAGGTTCCCAAACTCTCTTCTTTATTTCCCATACTTCTGACACAAAGGCATAAAATTATTCCACCCACAGGAGAGAAGGCGATGCAAAATGGTTAGAAAGACCTTCCTATTTTATTATTTTAAGCGTGCTTTTGAATAACTCTGTGGGGAATGCCACATCTACGGCACA